GACGCGTCAGGGTAGGAGGTCTGTCCACCCCCGAAGGAGTTGCATCCGAGCCGAGGAGGAGGAGGAGGAGGAGGAGGAGGAGGAGGAGGAGGAAGGAGGGAGGAGAGAGGAGGAGGAGGGAGGAGGAGGAGGGAGGAGGAGGAGGGAGGAGGGAGGAGGGAGGAAGGTAGGAGGTCTGTCCACCCCCGATTCTCCGGGATGCCTCCGGTCTGGGGCCACTCCGGCCTGGGCCCCCGAAGCGCGAATCGGGAGCTGCCCCTCCCCGATCCACCCCCCGCCGTGCTGCTTCGGGGGCCCTGGCCCTTCGCCACGACCGCATCCGAATCGAAATCCTACTCTGAAGATGCTCCAGGACCTGTCCGAAAGGAGGGTGGAAAGGGGGGGGCGCGGGGAGGGCAGGAGGGATACATTCGGGAGGCAGCGAGTCGAGTTCTGAGACCTCTCGGGGTGCTCGAACGGGGCTCTGGAGGAGGCGCTCTCGCCTCGGCGCGGGCCACATCACTGCTTGGCTGGATGTCCCTGCCTCCCCTTGCTAATGACACTCGGAGGGAAGAGGGAATCGTCGACGAAGAGTAGCGGTGACGGGGAGAGGGGAGAAGGACGCCCCCGTGTCTTCTCCAGATCCCACCAGACAGGGAACTGAAACCAGAACCTCCCCTCTCTCTCGTTATCTGATACCATATCTACGTGTATGCATGCACACATGGAACAAAACATTCCCTACAAGCCTTGCCTGGTAAATCAACTACCCCTGATAATAAACACTGGGGGGGGATACAGCTCGGGGTCCAGGGGGGGGTAAGAAACGCTTCCCCGGCAGATCGCGGCACACAGGACGTTCAGGATCATGCGGCTGCAGCTGCTGCTGCTGGTGATGATGGTGGGTGATGATGATGGTGATGATGATGATAATGATGATGCTGATGATGATGCTGATGCTGATGCTGATGCTGATGCTGATGATGATGATGATGATGATGATGATGATTATAGTGTGGGTGTTGATGATGACCCTCTGCGCTCTGCACATCCTAGAGCTGGCACGCGCTTTTGAGATCCTTGGCGCTCCTCGCCACGAAGCCTCTCTTGCGAACAGTCTCGAAGACCTCGCCCATGCAGGCTGGGCACCCCTAGTCATAAGAGGATAGCAACTTCGATTCGCACCTTTCCCCCACGATAATAAAATTCGGCCTTGCCGCCCCTCTCCCCCGACCAAATCTGGATTGGCCGGGGATACTGAACTCCGAGGTGGGAACGGGGGCATGATTTATTATCCGGGGGGTCGGTTACCCGCGCCAGTCTCGAGGCTGCGCAACCCGAGGCCATCCGCCCCGAGGCCACCTGGACGAAGAACAACGCAGCAACGCTCCAGACAAAGATCGCGCCGCGCCACGCGCGAGGCGAGGACACATTCGCGCCCGCCTGCCACCCCCCCTTGGACCGACCAGCCATAACTGGGGGAGCTGTGGTCCTTACCCCCTTTGGGGGACCCATCGCATCGACGATCTCTCGAGAGGAGTGTCGAATTCGATGGGTCCCCCAGGGGGGTAAGGACCACGGCTCCCCCAGTTGTGGCTGGCCTGCCTGGAGGAACAGAAAGCACCCCGCCGAGACAGCGGAGCGCGGCCACCCCCCCGCCGCTGCGGACAAACCGGTACGTTCTCCGGCCCTCGCCAGACAGGGAGCTGGCTCCTGGACCCACTCCCGCTGGCAGGCAGTCAAGCGGGGGGGCGCCTCCTCCAGCTAGCGTTACGTCGGGCCTGTCCCCCTACAGGGGGATTTTCGACGAAAAATAAAAAAATACCCCAAAAATAATCCAAACATAGTCTGGGGACTATGTTTGGGATATTTTTTGATCATTTTGGTATATTTTTGGAATATCTCTATTTTTTCGTCGAAAATCCCCCTGTAGGGGGACACGCCCGACTTAAAGCTGGCGCAGAAGCGGGAGGGGCGCGCGGCCAAACGCGCCCGCGCGGTTCCGTTCGGCGTGCGTCGGCGGTGGACAGACCGCCTTTTCGTAGACCTCTCCTTAATAAAAACGGCCTGGGACCGCAACCGACGGACCTGGACCCGCAAAGATGACGGCCGCGACGCCCTTTCGCGAGCCGGAAACGGCCAATTCCTTAATCAACGTGAACGTGTCAGGGTAGGAGGTCTGTCCACCCCCGAGCGTGAGCTGCCGGTGGCCCGACCCAGCCGGACCAGGCCGGGCTCCTCCGCGGCGTTCTCCCCGCCGCCTCCTCTTGTTCGGTTGTTGCTGTCTTGCAGCGCACCCCTGGGCGAGCGAGTGCACCCGTGGCGTCACGCCGCCTCGTCCTGCTCCAGCCTCTCCCTCTGCTCAGTGGCTCCTGCTCAGCCACCTCCCTGCGACCTCCCCTAAGCGGAGCGAAGAGCACACGACTGTCCTGCCCGGGGCCTCTTCAGCGGGACACGGTGCGCCGCGAGAGAGGAGGCCCGGGCATGCTCTACCTGGGGCTTCTCCACTCGTGCGCGGCGTCCCAAGAAGGACGAGAAGCAGAGTCTGTGGGAAAAAAACACGGTGGGGAAAAACACACACACAAACACACACACACACAAAAACAATGTGTGTGTGTGTGTTTTTTGTGTTTTTTTTTGTGTGTGTGTGTGTGTGTGTGTGTGTGTGTGTGTGTGTGTGTGTGTGTGTGTGTGTGTGTGTGTGTGTGTGTGTGTGTGTGTGTGTGTGTTTTTCACAGTGTGTGTGTGTGTCTGTGTGTGTGTGTTTTTGTGTTGTTTTGAATGTTTTGTGTGTGTGTGTGTTTTCCCGCAGACGGAGCAAGATGCCCATCAGAAGTCCGCCCAAGACGGGTCAGCAGACCGTGCCGACCACCATGCTCGCCAACTTCTGCGAGGCGCTGCTGGCCGTGGCGACCAAGGGCCCCCCTCGAGCTCGCGATTTGCTCGAACCGCTGGCTTCTTGAGATCTCGGCCTCTTCCCTGGAACGCGTTGTTTGACTCCTCCGTGACATTACCCTCATGGTAACCAGCCTCGAACGTATCCCTATCCCTAAGATGGGCGAGCAAAAAGCGAGGACAATCTTAGGGATAGGCCCTCAGAAACTGAGGGAATCCTTAAAATCAGCATCGAGGTGAGGTGATATCAAACATAGGGATAAGGATATGTTTCAAGATGGTAATATGGCCCCGACCCTGAAAACATAACAACATTCGATGCATTCGATGCCTTTCGCGACGCAGGGGGGAGGGGAATGAAACGAGGCCCCCGCCTGCTCAAGCTGGGCCTTCTCCAGCTGAACGTGGTGCGACACGAAGGAGTTCAGGAACAGCTGCAAGTCTCGCTTCGCATTCGACACGACGGAGAAAAGCCCTCCCAGTACGATCTTCTTCTCGTTGGGCAAGACCTCTGGGGGTGGGGAGCAGAGGAGAGGGAACGAGCGAGAGCGAACCGTCGATCCAACCCATCAGCCGCAGAAGCGCAGGCCGAGAGGAGAGCAGAGTGGAGGAGGAAGCAATTGGAGTAATCAGAAGAGCGGAGGATGGAGGAACGGAAGAGTCGGTCAGAACAGGAGGGGGAGGGGCTTCCTCGATCCCCTGTCCTCCAGCCGCGATGATGCCTCCGTGGTCCCGCCCCCTCCGCGCGCCTTGACCCTCACGCGGGTCGCGTTCCGCACCTCCTCCAACACCGAAGGCTTGCCATCGGCGCCCCGAGCGATGAAGGCGTGAAACGGCACCTCCTTCGGCGGCGTGAACTCCTCCTCCACCTTTGGGGTCGGGGGGGGCGGAGAAGGTGGGAAGACTGCGAGGGCGATAACAGCGACGACGACGACGACGGAGGGGGGAGGAGGGAAGGAGGCGGAGAACGAGGATGACGACGACGGGAAGAGGGACGAGGGCAACAGGGTAACGAGGGAGCGGCGGCTGAGGGACCGCGGGTCGCCTGACCGTCTTGGATGGCCGTCGACGGCTCCGAGTTTGGCCTGGGCAGCCCCAGATTGCCCCCAAAGATCACGCAACGTGTCCGAAGACGGCCACCATGGCCAGATGGTGCGGCGGAGGGAAGGAGCTGTGCGGATAGGAAAAGAAGGACGAGCATGAGATGTATGACAGAAGAGAGTACGAGGATGAGAGAAGAACAGGGGACGAGGATGAGCAAACAGGAGGGACAAGAAACGAGGACGGACACAACAACGATGAAAACCTTAGGACACGTTTAGGGAAAGGACAACGGAACCTGGGCGGAGGAAATAACTAGAGGAGGACGAGGATCAAGATGAGGAAGATGAGGAGCAGGATCGAGCGAGAACGATGAGGGGAGCGAAGAAGGTCAGGACGGGGGGCAGAGGATGAGAAGGTGGAGGAGGGAGAGCAAATCGGGATGGAGAAGCGCGAAGAAGGTCAGGACGGGGGGCAGAGGGTGAGAAGGTGGAGGAGGGAGAGCAAATCGGGGTGGAGAAGCGTGAGGCGGAGGACGAGGACGAAGATTGAACGGCTGCTGCCCTGGAAGTCGACCCGCGAACCTCTCCAGGGGCAAATTTAGATCAGGAATTCGAATGGAATCAAGCTGCGGCGACGATGGCCTCCCCGAGGCCCTGAACGAGGGATGAACGTATTTAACAACTACGTCCTCGACCTTCCCCCGCAGACTCCTCGACCTCGCTCCCCCCCCCTCCTTGAGGTTGTAGATGTACTCGTGGAGCTGCCTCTTGGCCTGCGATACCTGCTGCCTCGGCGGCGGGGGGACGCTTCCCGGGGGGGGGGGGGGGGCAGCAGGACGAGACCCCTGTCATGGTGCGACTGGCATCAGGAAGCGCGCCAGGCATTCCCGATCGCCCAGCGGCCCCCGCTCCTGGAGCTCGCGGGGGAGCCAGGACAGACTGGGGGGCTCGGACCCCTCCCCTCGTGGGCCTCACAGCTCTCTCGACCCCGCCCCCGACCCCCCCGCTGGCTCGGAGGCGGCCCCCGAGCGCCGCCTACGCATGTAGAAACTCCTCCTCCTCCTCCTCCTCCTCCTCCTCCTC